ATTCTTTTTTTTTATTATTACTTTATTGTTTTACTTACAATATGTTAGTGTTCCATTCTTTTTTTTTATTATTACTTTATTGTTTTACTTACAATATGTTAGTGTTCCATTCTTTTTTTATTACTTTATTGTTTCACTTACAATATGTTAGTGTTCCATTCTTTTTTATTATTATTATTACTTTATTGTTTTACTTGCAATATGTTAGAGATTGTTCCATTATTTTTATTACTTTATTGTTTTACTTACAATCTGTTAGAGAGTGTCCCATTCTTTTTTTCCCCGAAGAGGAAATATTACATAATAAATAACTTTAATTTTCAGAATTTTGCTTTATTGTAGTTGTATCTTTATATTACTTGTGTATCGATATTGTAACATATTTTTAGTTAGAATATAATGAACAACGTTTGTTTACTTCCAGCCGTATTTGTGATAAGTTTGTGTAAAGAAGATACACACACATCACCAATTTCCGTATTTACCCAAGATGAGTTTATGTAATGTTTTTAACACACAAGTGATACATTAACCCATTAGTAAATAAAACTGGTTCACTTTTATTTTATTTCTTGGTACTCAATTCATTTTGATGAGAATAATATGCACGTTGAACTTTAAAAATAATGGGAACAATAAGGATTTAATTTTATTATGAAATTTTGAACTTAAAAATAAAACGTAAAAGGTTTTGAGAAACTAAACCAACAGCTTTATTAGAAAAGAATTAACACAATTGAGATGAAAGTACAAGCTTCAGTGCTAATTCCAAACAGATAATCATACTTTAGGGCTGAATAGCAGTTAAAACTACACACACAAGCTGAAAAGGGTATATAGGTGGCGCTAGTGTCGTAGGAAACAGGAAAAAAAGGCATATATTGTTTAAGAGTACAATTTAAGAGCAACACAGTTATACAATTAATCACTTAGTAATGTCCATAAATATATTTAAACAATTTTAAAATGGCATGGGAATGGGCCTAGTAAAAGTGAAAAGTGCCAGAGAAAATTTTAATAATTATGCCTCATACACTAGAGGGGGCAATAGTGCAAGATACAATATATATATTTCGAAAAGAAAATCTCGATAAAAAAAAAAAGAGTAGAACGAACTGGGCAAAACGATCATGATCAAAGATCAGAAAACATCATTTCAAGACAGCCTTCAGCAATAGTTAACAACAAGGCTTTAGAATTTAATCATCAATTTAAAAGATCCTAGAGAAAAGTGGTAGCACTGCTGTCGCTACCGCTGTCATCTCTACTGTTTGGAAAAACGTTGTCGTTGGTTGAAATGCCTGTCGGTTGATTCACTAAATCACTAAAAGACTTCACACTTAGGGGTTCTTTCCTCCCATAACTTCGGCCCCTTTTGTCCGAAAGTATATCCTTGATACTAAAGGAGCACAGTGGTTTCGGAGAGCTCGTGAGACGAGAATCACGTGACGAATCCGAGTGACACGTGTCGGTATTGCCCTCTGTGTTATCGATAACATTTTCCAGTTCTCGTTTTTTCACGCCATTTTTGTCAGGTTGCTCGTCATAAATATGGAATCCAAGAGCACTGACGATTTTCAGGTTAACTAAATTTCTCAGTTTCTTGGAGGAGCTGACCTGTTCGAGTTCCCTCAGTGTCTGCCGTATTGATTCCGTTAAACTCACTATACTCAGTCCAGGTTTTAGTTTTGCGTGCTCTAGCCTTTTCGTCAGCCGCTCCAATTGCTTCCGGAGTTTCTTTTCCCGTCTGTCTGACTCGCGCTTTTTGACCTCTTCTGGCGGGATCGGATCACCGCTACAGGTTTGGGGGTGTGCGTTGTGGGCAGGTCTACCAGGCCCTTTCTTCGTGTTCTCTTTCTTCCTCCACTTAGCCCTTCTATTCTGGAACCAAACCTAGAAAACGGTTTATATTGGTTATACGTCTCGAATAAAGAAATCAAGGATCAGAGAAGTGCAGATAAAATAAAGGTGGCGCTTTTACTTATAATCTATTGTTCTTGAAGTTAATAAAGAGTGTTTTAGTGGCGTCCTTAATTGGAATCTTGTGTTTATGAAGTTAAAAAGTGATTTGGTGGCGTCTTTACGTGGAGTCTTGTGCACACGAAATTAAAAAGGAATGTTTTTGTGTCATGTTTACTTGGAATCTTGTGTTTATGAAATTGAAAAAAGTTTTTTGCTGACGTCTTTACTTAGAATCTGTTGTTCCTGAAGTTAAAAAGTGTTTTGGTGGCGTCTTTACGTGGAGTCTTGTGTACACGAAATTAATAAAGAAATGTATTGGTGACATCTTGCCTTGGAATCTTGTGCTTATGGAGTTAAAAACAGTGTTTTGGTGGCGACTGTACTTAGACACTTTTGTTTATGAAGTTGACGTAATTAGTTGAAATGTTTAATTCATTGAACTTAAGAAACTTCAGTTTTATTGATACTTCTTTAAGAAGAACGTTTTAAAGTATGTTAATAGGCTTACTTTATGGGTATTTTATGCAACTTCGTAATAAACACACACACACATAAAACTGAACGTATATTCTGGTCTGTGGTAATACTGGTTACTTTGTCTCAGACGTGTCCTGTTTCGCTTTTTTTTTATTTCCAGCGATTTTATCACGTTTTGTATTTTGCTGAAAATTTGAACAATTTAATGTACAGAAGTTGACATTGCTTAACAAATTGACAATAGCTTTAGAGGCCATTGTGACGTGGGTGGTGTTACAACGCAGAGAAAGATTCACATCCAGCCCTCTTATGTTTACATTTTGCTCAAGATGATGACAAAAGCATGGACTATGACAGACTTCACTCAGATACCTCAGAGAAAATCGGTGTGAGGGGGGTCTGTTTGAATCTATTTCTCATGATCGCTTGGCTGTAGTTTGTAGGAGTAACTTGTCGTTTTGTACCTTAGAAGGTCTGATATGTGCTGTGAAGAAGGAAGACGGTTCGTAAACATCTGGATCTCGATGTATACATCCTGTTTCTAAGTGAGTACTTCATATTCACATACATAGTTTAGTCCTGTGTATTAACAACGTCTTGCTTACAGAACCAATCAGATTGCTCGTTTTGACGTAGATCTTTCTGGAACGTTCTCAGACATAAACGCTCCTCCTTGTAGAATACTAAGGTGGGCAGTTGGTTCGTAATTCGTCTTGCGTGATGTATCTCGCATCCAACGTGCACAAAAATAACAGAGATAATTGTTTCTGGGTCGAAGTGATTAAATAAACGGTTGTTTGTAGGAGGAAGATACGCATTTAGTTTATGAATTGTGTGGCCAATTATAGAAAATTACCAAAACTTTAAAGCACATTTAAATGATTGTTTAATAATAAAGGGTAGAAGCAGGTATATATATCATTTCTTATATATATATATATATATATAGTTAATATATATAATGATAATGCGTCACGTGCTTAACCCCTTATCATCTTCCGGGTACTCAAGTGGGGGGTTCAATTTTGCCGTTGAAGAAATCCCCCCTAATTTCAGAAGCTGTTGATTGTTTTTCTGAGGATTAGATACAATAAAAAGAAGCAATCAGTGCCCGAAGTTCAGTTAATTGCATTTAAAGTAGATATTTAATAGTGTTTGATTACTTGGGGTCTTTTTTAATACATTTCTCAGACAGCGCTCTACTTCTCGAGAGAGAGAAAGAAACAGGCAAACAAAGAAACACACATAGTTCTGAACTGCTTATTTCATTACTACAAATTTTGAGAAAAGACAAACTTTTATCTGTAAATGTATTCACAAGTTTCTTTACACTTTTGTATACTAACAAAAAGAGAGAGAGTACAGGGTTATATTTCCAACGTCCTGGTTGGCTCTTGTTTTCCAGATATCTATACAATTTGATTCTTTTAATAATGAAGACGCCAATTGTAATGAACACCAATTGTACATCAGCAACAGCTTTTTCGTTTTCAGTGCAGAGAACAGTAATTTTCTGAGGATTTTTTTTTTCTAGATCAGTTGACAACTTGAAATTTCAATTGTTCTAGTTATGAGGCGAAAGTAGGAGACATCGGGGTTACCGGCTTGTTGTGCATTGAACAGACAGGAAACATGGAATGACTACTGATGCACAATCAGACAGCTCGAGTGACACATGGATTATCTGCCAACACGATACTGAAACAGACAATTCGAGCGACACATGGATTAACTGCCGAAACGGCACTGAAACAGATCGAGCGACACATGGATTAGCTGCCGAAACAGTACTGAAACAGATGGAGCGACACATCGATTATCTGCCGAAACGATACTGAAACCGATAGAGCGACACATGGATTATCTGCCAACACGATACTGAAACAGACAATTCGAGCGACACATGGATTATCTGCCAACACGATACTGAAACAGACAATTCGAGCGACACATGGATTATCTGCCGAAACGACACTGAAACAGATCGAGCGACACATGGATTAGCTGCCAACAAGATACTGAAACAGTTCGAGTGGCACATGGATTATCTGCCAACAAGATACTGAAACAGAGATATGGCTGAGAAATTGATTAAATAAACAATAATACATGAAATTACAACAGTAACGTTTCAAGGAGCATCGTTGAAGTAACGGCAGGAAACAGTAAAAACGTTCCCTTCTGAATATACTGGATTGTCAACGTGTCGACCTCACGCAGTTTTACTATACGTGTGTTTGGACAAACAGTTGTAAGGGGGTATTTTAATGAATAAATTTATTTCTCACATTTTGTTTTCTTTAATGTAAATCTAATAACTCATATTTCACATTATTTTTGGATAGGTGGTGATCAAGCGGTTCAGGACCAGAGTCCACGATATTCTGCTTAATAAGCTCCGCACTTTCATCTGTAGCTGGTTATAAGAGTGAAAGTCAGTCCCACTATTCGGTTAAGAGTAACAGTGTAGGTGGAGAGGGTTGTAACTGGTTTCCCTCCTCTTAGTAAGAGCTTTATTTTATGGATGACTAGGTATGAACCTTCAAGTCTCTGCCTTAGTTAGAGCTTTATTTTATAGATGGCTAGGTATGAACCTTCAAGTCTCTGTCTTAGTTAGAGCTTTATATTATGGATGCCTAGGTATGAACCTTCAAGTCTCTGTCTTAGTAAGAGCTTTATATTATGGATGGCTAGGTATGAACCTTCAAGTCTCTGTCTTAGTTAGAGCTTTATATTATAAAGCTCTAACTAAGGCAGAGACTTGAAGGTTCATACCTAGCCATCCCTTAGCCATCCATAATATTATGAACCTTCAAGTCTCTGTCTTAGTTAGAGCTTTATATTATGGATGGCTAGGGAAGGTTCATACCTAGCCATCCATAATATAAAGCTCTAACTAAGACAGAGATATGAACGGTCAGACCTAGCCATCCATAATATAAAGCCCTAACCAAGGCAGAAACGTCAAGGTTCATACCTAGCCATCCATAATATAAAGCTCTTACTAAGACAGAGACTTGAAGGTTCATAAAAATCTCTGTCTTAGTTAGAGCTTTATATTATGGATGGCTAGGTATGAACCTTCAAGTCTCTGTCTTAGTTAGAGCTTTATATTATGGATGGCTAGATATGAACCTTCAAGTCTCTGTCTTAGTTAGAGCTTTATATTATGGATGGCTAGATATGAACCTTCAAGTCTCTGTCTTAGTTAGAGCTTTATATTATGGATGGCTAGGTCTGACCCTTCAAGCCTCTGCCTTAGTTAGAGCTTTATTTTATAGATGGCTAGGTACGAACCTTCAAGTCTCTGCCTTAGTTAGAGCTTTATTTTATGGATGACTAGGTACGAACCTTCAAGTCTCTGCCTTAGTTAGAGCTTTATTTTATGGATGACTAGGTATGAACCTTCAAGTATCTGCCTTGGTTAGAGCTTTATTTTATGGATGACTAGGTAAGAACCTTGAGGTCTTTGACATGGCCGTTTAGCTCAAGTTTCGCATGTTCATTGCAAGTCGAAAATATCAGAAAAGTCAAATTATATCACCGCTTCTTTAACTTTCTGGTACGAAACACGATAGTTCGCAGTTGATAAGGTATCACATTACGTGTAAAAAACTACAGTTTCTTATAGTATCGGTTTTTCCCAGTCGAGCTGGGTTGATGATTGGATGCAACCTTCAATGAAGGTTTTTACACACTGGGCAGAATCAAACAGGGAACAACCAATCATTGACGTGTATTTTACAAACAGTTAAATTCAAATGTCTATTCCGATAGTGAACAATTCACCAAGTTGTAGACAAGGAATTGTTTCACAACAGCCATCTGACGTCATGGTTGAGAGGTAACAAAATTATAGTTTTCAGAATGCTTATGTCCGTCTTGATGATGACCATCACGAGCGGGCAACAATGATCTGCAACTTCGCTATATATACACCTTTCTTTCAGTGGGGTTGGAAAGGTCTACACAACATCAGGATCAAGATTCTTACATTTTAAACTGATTTCATTCTGATCATCGTCGTTCCAAACGTATACGTGTCACCAATGTTCACCCAGAACCAGAAGTTAGTTATTATGAAAATAGACTGGAGTCATATCTGGGGTCAGAGACGAATGCCATGTCTGTCTCACTTATACCCTTGAACAAATATAAAGCATTTTGATGAGGACATATTCTACTAAGATTCTTCCAGAGACTCGGACAAGGTTATAGCTTCGTTGTAGGTCTGTGTGGCCGCACGAGGTGGACATAACCATTCTGGGAACTCTAACTTTTGACATCGCTCAAGCATCGTGTTGCTGCAGCATCTTGAAACCAGGAGATGTGACATGTTAGTGGCTGTTGAAAAGCAATTCCATGTTCACGACCTGGAATACGTTGTGACTCTTCTTTAATAACAGCATGACTTCCATTTTTCAAGAGTATTTGCAAGCCATTGAAAAGTTATC